TCGATATTGACTGATGAAGTCATGTGCCATATCACTCCAAGAGCGAATACGAGTCCTATCCAATTGAACATACCATCTGGCGGCAGAGCCAGTAAGACTGTCCTGGGAAAACATGCATCAAGAGTTTTTCATCATGTGCATGAGCTGCCATCTTTCTGCAATACATAGTGATGTGGGTTTTGGGGCACTTTGTACCGTCATATTTTTAAATTTCCGGTACTTTGAACTTATAGGGAATAACCACATCAGGAACTAGGCAGAGCCCAGCAGCATCAACTGACCCATAAAAGCTAAATCCTTCTATAGCCCGTAGCCTCTGCTCTAACATGCTAATCTTGGAACTTTCCTCAGCCTCTACTCTCATGTTTTCCTTCTCCTTCTCTTTAAATCATCTAGATCAGGAATTGGTTCTGCTGCCTTTTCAGTGAAGACAGGATTTATATAGCTGTTATACTGCCTGTGTGAAGCTGAGGCATTCCAGGATAGGGAAATGGTTGTGCTGACTCTTGGGTAGACTGGGCTTGAGATGGGCCAAAACTGGAGGGTAAAAGGGTCAGCACTTCTTGTAAATGGGGACTTGTTGGCTTTATTCCCTCAACCTTTCCCCTTATTATGTTTTTGAGGGGCCTCCAGAATTTTTGCTAAGTTCATTTCAATCTTCTCCTGAGGTCTTTTTCTAGCTTTTCAAATCTCTGAGAACTTTCCTCCTCATTTCCTTGTCTGGATTTTGTTGTAATGATGGCAAGGTTTCGCTAGCATGGAAGCTAGCCTCGCGACCTTGAGTACCATAACTTATGATTAGAATGTTATGCTGTACCTATGTAGTGATGCTTGATACACAAATGGAAATGTACATTTTTTGAATGAAATCTAGTATGAAATGAATGCAAATGATTGTGTTGAAACCATGATCATGAAAAGAATACAGAGCATACAATTAGACAAACAACATAGTTAGTTCCGTGGATGAAACGTAAGTGATGTGATGCATAATGTTACATATGATAAAAATAATACACAAAGTTAAGCAATCAAAATGATTAGATAAACACCCTTTTTGTGTCCTAATTTCAGGGTATATCTATCATTGGGTAGAAAGGCTCTATCTAGGTGTAGGCACTCTTAAGGTTCACTACATGCGGTTTTAAGGTCAGAGTCTAAAGGTCCTCAAATTGCTCCTTACATCCTTGTCCATCACAGACTAGTAAGGCACCCTAATCCTCACCCATTACAGGCTACAAGCGAAAAAGGTTCAATTTGAGTGGGAGTATTTCGCTAGCCACTGCGGAGGCATTAGACCTCACGAAAGCAATAGGTACTTTACTCCCTCCTAGAGGGACGGAGCTCGGGTATAGAGCTCATGTTATGCACATGCATGAATGACATAATTAACAAGGTAAATAAACATGAATGAATAATAACACATATATACAAAAGGTTCAATTTTATTTGGCTTTTGGATAACACAAATTATTTGCTGGCCTGACTCTCAAGTCCCCAGCGGAGTCGCCAAGCTGTCATAACGTCTAGATCCGGGGATCTATCGCTAGACATTGACTTTTAGGGAGTCGCCACCAATCTTTTTTTCTAGGTGCGATTGGCCACCTAAGGAATCTGTCCTTTCAGGGAACACCTAAGTTTAAGGGTCCCTAAAAGAATAGGTTCAGGTCTACTAACCAGAACAGGGTTCGGGAGTTCGGTTACGTGTGAGGAAGGTTATAGCACCCTCACAACGCCCATCAAAAGATGGTACCAGCTTAAATTTGTGTTATCCAAAAGCCTTAAAATTTTACCAAGTAATTAATTATTGGAAATTATTCTCAATTGACTCTAATACTTTTAGCAGAAAATTGAGAAAATTCCCTCACCTCAAGAGTATGCAAGAAAAACTACTGTTTCACTTGCAGAGGCTCCGTCGTCGGATTATTTAAAGAAAAAAAAACAAAATCAAAATTAAGATAGAAAGGAAGGAAAGAATGATTTTTTTTTAGGGAAAATTGATACTTTCAACTTTTCCCCAAAAATATTTTTTGGAAATTTCGATTTTCAAGGAAAATTGATACTTTCAACTTTTCCCAAAAACCCTTTTTTTGAAAATTTATTTCTAAGGAAAATTGATACTTTCAACTTTTCCCCAAAAATATTTTTTTTGAAATTTATTTCTAAGGAAAATTGATACTTTCAACTTTTCCCAAAAATATTTTTTTTGGAAATTTATTTCTAAGGAAAATTGATACTTTCAACTTTTCCCTAAAAATATTTTTTTGAAATTTATTTCTTAAGGAAAATTGATACTTTCAACTTTTCCCTAAAAATATTTTTTTGAAATTTATTTCTAAGGAAAATTGATACTTTCAACTTTTCCCTAAAAATATTTTTTGGAAATTTATTCTTAAGGAAAATTGATACTTTCAACTTTTCCCTAAAAATATTTTTTTTTGAAATTTATTTCTAAGGAAAATTGATACTTTCAACTTTTCCCCAAAAATATTTTTTGGAAATTTATTTCTAAGGAAAATTGATACTTTCAACTTTTCCCTAAAAATATATTTTTTTAGAATTTTTTTATTCTTATTTAAAGAAAAATAAAATAATAAAAAATAGATAAAAAGAATATTACATAAACCTAATCTAATAATAAAAAATAAAATAAAATAAACAATAAACAAATAAACAAAGAAAAAAAAAAAAAAAAAAACCTGGAGCGGCTCGGATCGCGGCTCGGCTCGGCTCAAGGAAGAGAAAACGGCTCGGGGGAGCGGCTTGGCTCGGCTCGGCTGGGCTCGGAGGGGGGCTGGCACCCGCGGGTCAGAAAAGCGGGTCGACGCCCGGGTCGGGTCGGGTTCGGCAAAACGCGCGGATCCTCGGGGTTACTTAAGGCCAAAACGACGTCGTTTTGGGAGGGTATAAAAGGCACCTTCCTCCGTTTTTCGGCAGAACTGTCCTCCCCCTCTCTCTCTCTTCTTCCTTTTTCTCTCCCTTCTCTCTAGGAACTGAAGAACACCGGTGCCGGATTCTGGAAATTTTCATCGGAATCTGGAAATTTCGCCGGAATTGTTGCCGGAAAATTCAAATTTCGCGTGAATTTTCCCCGGATTCTGGAAATTTCCCAGAAATTTCCAGAAAAAATTTTCGCCAAAAATCTCTAAAAATTTTTTCTCACTCCCAGAACACTCCTAAACTTTTCCTAGCTTCTTATACGCCTCCGTTTCTCTCAAATCAGTAGCTTTGCTTACTGTTTTCTGTGTTTTCATTCTGTTCCAGGGGGTCCCTTTTATAGGGATTGATCAGGAGTTCCTAACCAATCCCAATTCCTCCTTGGACGGGAATTCAGTCTTTGAATCCAACTGGACTCTTCTGATTGAATTCCCCTTCAGAGTGGGATTCTTCAACTTTGAATCTTAGCCATCCAAAATTAAAATCAAAATAAATAAAAAAAATACTAGATAATCAAAAAATATGATAGTATAAAAATAAAAAAATAATATCAGATAATTCGGAAAAAAAAATCAGATAATAAAAAAAAATAACATAAGATAAACCCAAAAATATATTACAAAAAAAAAAAAGATAATAATAATAATAAATATATAACTATATACATACAATACATATAAATCTAATCTAAATAAAAATAAATAAACAAGGATATACATAATAATAATAATAATAAAACACATAAAATACAAAAGAAAAAAAAAGAAAAAAAAAAAATACAGGATTGAAATGGGCCTTACCCATTTGAACCAGGCCCAATTGATCTGGGCTCGGACCCAATTGAATGTGTACAATAAGTATTGTATGAACCAGATACTTGGAGCAACCCGTGCTCAAGGTGTGGTGCTCTGAACTTGCCATGATTGAAGAAAGTAACGATCGACAACATGGTCAGTGTGATTGTGCCTCCTATTTCATTACAATGGGGGGTGAGAAGGGGATGAAATTCTAATAAGAAAAAGGGACCCATTAGCAGCAACCCCCCTAGTTAATTGGCTGAACAATTTAGATATTTGGTGTGGGAGTACTGCTCTAGGTTTAAGACTTTTATTTGCCACGTTCCCAGCTGACCTGTAGGGCTAGAAATGCTAGACACCCTTCGAATGATAATTTTTGCAACGTACCAATCCTACAAAATATTCAAAATAATACAGATATTTTGAAAATATATTATGATATATGTGAAATTTTAAATTTATATTTACAAGGGTTTTTTTTAAACAAAATCGTAAAATATTCATACGTTAAGTAGATAATATCGTATAATCTGAATATAAATATTTATAATTGATATCAGGGCAATTCATTGCAAAGAATGTAAGAGCTAAATGTTACACAACAAAGGCGAAACTACGGGGCAGATAGGGGCCACTACCCTCTCCAAAATTTTTCACCTCTTTTATGCTATAGTGTTTGATCCCATCAAAATATTACTTTGGCATCCTTTCCTTTTGAAATTACTATTTGGCACCTTTTTTATTCAATTGTTGCCTTCGCCCTTGCTACACGGTGTGAATCTATTTTAAAATTTCAATGTATGATATGATTTTGGTTATGTGTTAAGTTTAATAGAAACATCAAATTTTAAATGAAAGATATTTTATAATATCTGAATTTTATATTAGAATATTATAAATATATGTTATAATATATATATGTAGAAATTTGAATTTATACTAATATTTTTTTTTGTAAGATAAAATTATAAAATATTTAAATTAAAATGAAAAATATCTTATAAATTGGATGTAAATCTCTACAATTTTATTTTTTTTTAAATTTAGATGTATTCCTAATAAAAGTTAGTTGCGATGGTAAAGATTGAACTCTGCCTAACTTAAAACCAGTTCACCAGCTTTCAAGCTGAATTTAAGGGACTTTAGTTTGGCATGATCATGAAAATTATAATATTTTTAGTAGTACATCTCAATTTACAGATCCTGGTGTTGAACTATTTATAAGTCATTCCCAGCAGCTCAGATGACCCCTGTTCCTGAAACCAAATGGCCAGAGACATGCATCCTTCAGTCTCCGCCTCATGGTCCACGATCTTTCCCATAGTTCTAACTTTTATTCCTACAATTGTTCATTCAATAACACTACAATCAGATATTGAAACCCTTCAATCCCTGAAGAATTCCATTGATCCAAACACGATTCCGCCATCATCATACCTCAGTACTTGGGATTTTTCAGTGGATCCATGTGAAAGTACAGGGGCAAGATTTCTTGGAATTTTATGTTCTATTCCTTCGGACAGTTCAACATACCAAATAATATCACTTGAACTTGATGGCGCGGGATATGATGGTTTCCTGTCACCCAATGTAGGAAACTTTACCGAGCTCACCTCCCTTGATCTCAGCAGAAACCGATTCAGAGGGCCATTACCTGATACTTTGAAAAAGCTCAAGAAGCTAATACGAATTTCCTTTTCTGGCAATTTTTTCACTGGCGGCATCGCCGGATGGATCTATGGATTGAAGATGGTTGAAAGAATAGACCTCTCAAGAAACCTCCTGTCCGGCCGGATCCCTGCCAGGATTTCTGAACTACGAAGATTGACTCACTTGAGCCTGTCAAATAATGGATTTTCAGGCAGAATTCCTGACATTAATGGATTATGGCAGCTCCAGACATTAGAGCTTGGCTCCAATATGTTGGTTGGAAGCTTGCCAAAATTTCCTACAAGGTTGAGAACCTTGACTTTGTCCCACAACCGACTTTCAGGACATATTACACCATTGGAGATGCTTGAACAACTTAGATCGGTAGATGTGAGTGATAATAGGTTTTCAGGTTCCATTGGAAAGGGAATTCTTGCATTGCCTCACCTGCATCACCTCAATGTTTCCTTCAACCAACTCAGAGCAATTGAGGTGAACAAATCTCGTGGGAGTGGGTCTCCACTTCAAGTACTTGATGCACAAGGGAACCGCCTGCAGGGTCATTTGCCCCTCGAGTTGGTCAACTTTGGGAGGTTAGAAATAATCAATCTAGCCTACAATGGATTGACAGGTCGAATCCCCGCAACGTATGGGCAGAGACTGGGCAGACCATGGAGAACCTTGTTTTTAGATGATAACTTCCTATCAGGTCGTCTTCCGCCCCAGTTCAATAGCAGCACGGCCACGATCAGAGGCAGCCTTGCAAATAATTGCCTGATGTGCCCGATAAACATCCCACTTTGCCGGGGAGGGCAGAGGCCAGCTTCAGGATGCATTGGTGAAACTGACGACAATTGACAAACAGGGAAAGAGCAACGAATATATTTCTAGGGAGACTATTGTTAACTTTCTCAGCACATGGAAATTGGTTCTTATGAATATGATAAACAAAAAAGTAACCAGAAATGAATTTCTCTATGGTAAAAATTGCCTAAAAGCACTGTTAGAGCTGATATAAACAAAGAATTCTTTCCTGCTACACAACTTAGACAAGGACGCAGCTTTAGAAAAGCCAATTAACACTAATGTTGCCAAGCCATGTGAAGAGTGGAAACTGAGCCAGGACAATAAAGAGCAAAAGGTAGTGGTGCTTGCTGGAATCATAACTTCTAACTTCTGCGAAGAGAACTCTTTTCATGGTCTTCACCAAGAAGACTCCCATCCATAAGCATGTCCATGGCATCAAAAAGTAGTATGAGTACCGCCAAATGATCCGTCCAAGGACTGAAAAACACAGTCCGGTGAAAGTATACCCAGCATACGCCAGAATGTCAAGTAAAGGTGCCTCACCACTACCCAATGAAAGTAATGTTACTTTCAGCAGCATAACTTGCAGAAACCAGCCAAACACTCCCTTAACAAACAGCCAGTTAAGTGCTTCAGGGCTAAACCTGGTGGAAAAGTAGGAGATGGAAATTATTTGAGGCAAAAACAAAAAGAACACATGATTTATATAATTTTCCAAGTAATCTATATGAAGAAAACTAAAAGTGATTAAATCGAATTCGCCAAAATTCGAATCACATTACTGCATCAAGGGTGGTCACCACCAGAAATCAGACTAGACAACTAGAAGCTAGATCTTAGGGTAAAAAGCACCAGAATGGAAGCCTGAGTTTCTCAGAGGAGACACAAGATGAACTACTCCAAGTTCCAAAAACAAATCAAAATACAGAAAAATGTTGAGTAAACAATGACAAGGTACAAGCATAACAATGTATACTTCTTGTTCCTTAATAATTTGGACACTATTTAGAGAAATATTCATTCTGCCTGTGGTGTGTGATTGCAAAAATAAATCCTTGACTTGCCTGCATCTCACATGAATATTCGATTAAAGAATAAAAATGATGGATGCCGCACACATTGGTTTAGATATTGGCTTCTTCTTTAAGTACCCTAAAGAAAACACAAAGGGGAAACCTCTCTAGTGAGGAGAGGATTAGGGCATAGAGGAAGAAACAGAAGTCAGACCCCTTAAAGTTGCCAATTTATTGTTAGTAACAAGCATTTGGAAGTAAACTAATCAAAAATTACAACAAAACAGGTAGACATCTGTCCAGAATAAGTTTTCAAACCACTAAACATACATTGCAATTGGAAAAAGAAGGTAAGAAGCTGTTAGATTGAGAGGAAAAATCCACTTACTTTCCTTGAAGGCCCAGTGACAATCCAGCAAGAACAACGTAAGTACCAAATGCCATAAATGGGATGTACAAGTCTGGTGCATTAATGTCATAAATTTGGGGTTTATAGGAAAGCCTACCCCCCACTGGCTCAGTTATTCTTGTCCAATGGCCCCTGAAGGAAAAGGGAGAATATGAGACAGTGACTTAAAAAAAAAAAGCACAGAAAATGTTACAATGAGGAGCATATGCTTACCCTGTGTAGAAATGGCAGTAAAACAACCTTCAATTTGTTTCTCACATACTGATCATTCACTTGAAAGTAGTACTGGGGATCAGAGAAGTACCTACTTATCTGCTTATTTCAACATGGAAAAATTATGAGGCAAGAACAAAATTCATAAAATTGGAGCACTTCAGATATTCATCCCTTTTTTATATCTTAGTAACCGTTTAAAGTAAAGGCATTTTACTACCTTTATGATCAATAGGAATATCTTTAGACTTCCTCTGTCATTTATGCCAACATTTTTTACTCTTTATTACACGATTAAACCATGCTTATTAATGCTAAACATTTACATCGTATATACAATTGTTCCGCACAGAATACATCTTAAGCGTTAACTTATGAAGGTCACTCCTCAGATAGAATAAGGCATCACAGTTAGGGCTGTGCCAAAATAATAAAAAGGTTAACTGAGCTATGATGTTAGCTTGGTTCAGTTTTTGTTGTTCTCAGTTCAATTTCAATTCAGGTAATGATAACAACCAATTGGTTTGCTTTAGTTTTGAGTTCTACTAAAAATCTGAAATAATATAATCATAAGAAACTTGAATTTGTTTTTAATTACTTTAAATTCTTGCATATTTTTTAAATAGTTGTTTTCTCAAAGTTCAAGTAGACTAAAAAAATATTACAAAACTGAAAATCTTTTTAAATATAAACACCAGGTAATCAAATTGAACAATGAAATTTTGGTTAGAAGTTTATGAAATTTTCTTCTATTTCAATTTTCCATTAAAAAAGCTCATATTTCAGTGTGATTATAAAGTTTTCAAAAAATTGAACTGAGACTAATCCAATATACCACTAAGAACAGTCATAGGCTTTTCACAGACTGTTCAAACAATGTCCAGCGATTGTCAATTCCCTGTGGAAAATGACAGTACTCCTGAATAGCAATATTCAAATACATAATACTATGATGCAACTAGGAGTGAAACAACACAGTATTTAAGCATATGGTAATAGCAATAAGTCAACCTTTTGACATAACTGCACCCAGCATGCTACTTACGTTGCTTTGCACATACTCAGAACTTGATCCCAAAATTTTCTCCCCATATGCACCCAGACCACCTCGGATAAGAACAGAACCAGCCCTGTAAAATGCATTACCAAATGGATTTGGTTGAGGGTTTGTTGGTGGTCTTGGCACCCCAGGCTGGGCTCCCAAGTTATTATACATTTCTGAAATCGAACAAAAGGTGAGAAAACATAGAGAAAAAACTTTTATTCAAAGAAAATATCTCATCGGGGTGCTTGAATAGAAAGTCAAAACTTCAAATTTAAAAGAGAAACACTATATCCTACCCAATACAAACAGAAGCCAAAGTTGAATACTCCTGTCTAATAATATGATGATGTAACTATAATAATATAATAACCAATAAAAGAAACCGTTAACTAGCAATTTGGATACCCTCCCCTCTCTCTCTATGCTTCATAATTATTAGAGTTTAGATTGTACCTTCATCAGCTCAAACCCATGAACAAACCAAAAGTTCATGAAATTTTCAGTTCATCTTTTTCATGTTACCCAAGCAGCCCAAACTTAGATATGCACTTACCCACAGTAAAATAATTCAATTTCTCATAATTCCTTCCATTTGACAAAGACAATAAGCTCTAAAATTCCTCAGTCCTCTCCCACCTCAGCCAACATCATCCTAAAAAGCACCCATCAATGAAAGGGTTTTCAGTTTCAAATATCCTTTCTTTGACAACTTGAGAATTTAACCTCTGTAAAACTCAGAATAGAATTTCAGCTTATACTCATGCCACAGAGCCCCATCTTCTCCATCATTTAAAACCCTTTTCAATTTGCATCAAATTAGGCCTAAGCCCTTAAGAAAGGGCAACACAAAAGCAACCGTGACCCAAATTTCATATAATAAAAATAATAATAATAATAATATCTAATCTTTTATATCCGGATTAAGCCCAAACAGCTCAAAATCGACTCAATTATAGATGTTCACTTAGTTATCTACTTTCCAAATGCAAAAATATGACTGAAATTTTGAAAAAGAAGAAGGAAACATAAAAACATGAAAACAAGAACAATTCTATATCAACAAACAATCAATTTAAACTACAAAGTAAATAATAATAAATAAGAAGAAATTTTGGCTAGAAATTCATTATAATTTACAATCAAAATTCAAATTAGGTCACGTAAAAATACACATCTAAATAAATTATTTTTTAATATTAATAAACAGAGAGATTTGGATTAGAAAAAGAAAAGAAAGGACCTTCCGACTAAAGAGAAAGCGGTTAATACGAAGAAGATTCCGGCGAAGGAGATCTGATTTCCGACGAGGTTCCGGTGAGATTTCCAAGCGGAAGGGCAGGGCGTCAGCGGAAAACTCGGAGAATTAACGGTGAGAAAAAGAGCCAGCCACGGACAGTAAATGCGAAACGAGGGGAAATCGTGCGAGGCAGGTGTCAACCACGTGCAGCCACCTTGGTCGCTTTGCGTCATTGGACCAATCTAATCCAGAGCCCAGATTTCTTCTTTTTAATTTTTGCCATATAATTCCAAAAAAAATTGGCATAAGAATATAAATGATTTTTTATTTATAGAAAATATAATACCATTTCGTCTTATTATTTTTCAATTTGTATTTTAAAACAAGGTTTTCTTTTCTATCATAGAAAATATAATACCGTTTTTGAAGATCCAATATTTTTATTCTTTCTATATCTCATGAATTTCTTTTATTTTTGCACGTTAAAAATTTAATGAATTTCTTTTGTTTGTTTATCAATGAATCATATAATATCATATTGAGGAAACATATAATTTTACAAATTTTTAAAATAATTACAAAAAAATTTTAATTTTTTAAAAATTTTTATTAAAAAATAATTATGATGCTTCTAATAAAACTTTTAATTTTTACTTTTAAAAACTCACTCCAATATTTGCAAAAAAAAGAAAAAAATTATCTATTTTTACATTCAAAAAGTAAAACCCCAAGAATTGATCTTGATCTCAATGTTGCGTGTGGCTTGTTCATGTCAAATGCGCACTGAATCTCGCTAGTTCTCCAATCCGCTTACGCTTGTATAGAAACCTTTACTGGTCTCCTCCACTTCCCCTGAACTTGGGACCAGTGCGCGTGTTATGACACTCGGACCATTTTACTGCCATTGCTATTCAAAATTATCATTTTCATAAAACAATACGTAACCTGTGGCTGCTACAAATTCTGAACTGTTACAATTGAAAGCTTGAAATATTTTTATTAAACGTTAATTGTAGACTAATGAATAAAAAGTAGGTTCTTCCAAAGCTACATCCTTAGTTGCACCCACAACACACACTACCATTGGGAAGATGCAAACAGACATGTTGCTAATCACTTGGAAATGGAGCATCAAACAAGACAAAAAAAAATTATTCCTAATCCTTACACGCAGCAAATAAGGAAAGGGAAATAAAAACAAGTGGGGGAGAAAAAAATTTGAGACCTTTCAAAACCCTTTCTTTGAAATTATAAGAAATAAAAAAGAAAAGCAAAACGATGTGTGATTATTGAAGTTTTCCTAAAGCTAAGCTCCTTTGATTAAGGTAAGGGCGTCAGCCTCGGTTGGAAGGGCAGGGATTGCTCCCTTTTTGGTTGTCGTGATGGCTCCACATGCATTTGCGAATTTCAGTACTTCCCTCAATTTTGATTCATTCTGTGAATTAAAATCCCCCCACCCAGTTAGAACAATATAAAAGACAATTTTGAATCAAAATAGTAAAAGAAAAAAAATATGGGGTTACCTCAAGTATGGTTGGGTCGTCCACAATCTTGCATAGCAAAGCACCAACAAAGGAGTCCCCAGCGCCAGTTGTATCCACAGTATTCACATGGAAAGCATCAACTGCCCCGTGGAAATTCTGTATTTCAGAAAAACAATAACATTTTTCTCCACTGTTAGCGTCTTTTGATTTTTGTCCAGACACCGACAGACTCAAAAAAGGCCAAAACAAGACCCCAAGATTTAATCGAATGCACACAGTATTTGATTTCAGGTTGAATAAAAAACAAAGAAGTCCAAGTTGCAGAGTTGGGGGGACCAATGGACCAAAGCTGAATCTATAATAGTATCATGCTTGGCATCAATCAGTGGACATCATTTGCAATGGAATGAAGAAAAATATATTTTTTTTTCAATATTTTGACAAGATTAAATTACATAATTCGATCAATAAAGATATGCTTATTATGTGTTCATGATCGGTTGTATTTAATTCAGCAATCTGACTCGATTCCAGCACAGGCAATTTAAAACCTTCGATCAATGACAGCTAAAAGTCATTATCAACTAGCAACAAATAAAGGCATCACCTACCGTGACAGCTGAGTAAAGAAGCATCAACTGAGAGTACAAGACGCTGAATTTAGCATACCTTGGTGTAGTATCTGCTACCCTTTTCACCAAGGGTGACCAAGAGTAGGGTAAAGTTGGGGCGCCAAAGTTTCATAGCAGTTTCATCGTCGATTTTGTTGCTGCCAGTGAGGAACTCTAGCTCAACATCACTGACCTTGATAATATCAGCCTTATCCCAGATGGACAAGATCTGTTTCCTGGCCTCATCAGCTGAAGGCCAAAGTGGCAGGCGAAGGTTCGGATCATACGAGAGCAAAGCACCAGATTCTTTGGCCACTTCCATCGCCTTTAAGTGAGCTGATCTGCATGGCTCCACAATCAAACTTATCGATCCATAGTGAAACACTCTGGCCTGCACAAAGAAAAAATTCAGTTTTTTTTTTTTAAATAGCCTTAAAAAATCCACCAAAGTCCTTCCAAAACAATAAATTAAAAGAACTTTGCTGAGAAAATTGCAAAACAAGCAAACTTCCAATGAAAACTATACATAATGCAGTTTGTTAGGTAAGCCAATGATTTAGTACATAAGCTAACAAACAGAGAAAAATCATGTGGAATCATGCAACTTCTCACCCAACAAACATTCAATGTCTTTATGTATGTCATAAAAATAGAAAATAATTTACACATTCCTTCAATTCACTCTCCCTCCCATCTACCATGTCTACCAATGATACACGTTCCCGATGCATTTTTTGCGGATAAAATTAATGAGTACAGCTTAAGGAATTCAAGTCACATTCACAATCATAAACCAATATTTTTTTTAACATAGGAAGCCGCAACTCAAAATAAAAAATGAGTTGCAAACGTTGATATTTAAACTTAATATTTGCTAGATGCCACCTCCTAAAGACTATGATCTGAACCAACCAAATTAAATCTGGATTGTAAGTCATGTTCACAATCATAAACCAATATTTATTACTTGTAACAAATACTAATTATTCCTAAAAAAACAGCACACCTTTAAGATTGAAGAGATTAAACTCAAACAAAATCCGGAAAACCCTAATTACCAATTAGTTTTATAATAATGAAAATTTCTAAGAACACTAGCAGTTTGGTTCAAACTTTAGTTACAAATTCATTCTACTAAAGATAAGGAACAAGGAATCACACTATCAGTGAAAATCGGATTACCGATCTACCCTTGATCAACATCCTTCTTTCCCAAATAGCCCATTGGATGGGACAGAAAAGCAAGATCGAGATCTACCGCGTTCCCTTTGGATATCAGGTTGTTGTATCCAAACCAAGCAAGTGATATCACGTGATAAACGGGGTTTAGCGTACGTTGGTGGTTTTGGACTCTTGTGGACACAACCATATATGCCACATGGCCAGACAGCACAAGGCCGATTTACCCAACTCTTGTGAAGTTAGAAGTTCCCACGCAAGTTAATCAAATCAGAATCATTGTCATTTCCGAATTCAGATCTGATCCCACTAGAAAAGAAAAGTTTACTACACTGTTATGTAACATTACCGGCGGTGAAGATATCAAAGCCCGCAATTTTGATAATTTATATGTCGGGAAAAAATTGACAAAATTCTCAGTGCTTAGATACCCAAGTGTGAGTCCCACAAATAACCAGGGATCTTATAGTAATATAGCGGACCGACATGTAAGCCTTTAAATAAAAGGCTACGCTCACGTTATGGCGCGTGAGTATCACCGATCTTTTTCTACAGTCTTTGGATTAGAAAATTCGTAAATTTTTCTTGTTTCTTTTATGTCAACGATGAAGCAAGAAAATGCAAATTGCAGTAAAACAAAAAAAAAAGGAGAGGAAATTGACTGATTTGTTGCATTCAAGGAAAAAGATGATAAGAACACTTACAGATCTGATAAGATCAAGATTCAATTCCTCCGGCCTCAACAGCATATCAGCGCTAGGATTCCTGTAAAACATGAACTCACGTTCTCCATCGGCTCGTAGAGTCACGAAGGCAAGAGCGGTCCTTGCGCCTTGGTCAAACAAGATCCCGTCGCCAGAGACTCCATTTTGCTTGAGAATATCAGCAAGCATGTGACCAAACTCATCGTCTCCGAGCTTTCCGACGAAAGATGCTTCACCGCCGAGTCTGGAGACGGCGATCGCCACGTTGGCTGGAGCTCCACCGGGGGCTTTGAGGAAGCCAGGAGCTTCGGCTAAAGAAACGCCAGAAACGGTGGGGACAAAGTCGATGAGCATCTCACCGAAACTCACGATTAAGCTCTTGCCTGAAACGACTCCGTTTGGCGCCATAGCTTCTAAAGGAGAGTGAAAAAAATATATATATTTGGAGTCCAGGGAGAGAAGCGAAAATATTGTATAAGAGAAGAGCCGAGGAAAAAGAAGGGTTGTTTATATAGCCAAAAATGATAGAGAAAAAAAGGAAAATTATTTTTTTAATTAAATAAATTAATGTTAATTTTGGTTGCTATTACTTTATTACTATTTTTAATCGGTCATTACTTTCTTTTGGACTTTTTGTGGGAGATGTGGGCCCATTTTCTGATTTGGATAATTATGCTAATAAAAATAATGAAAATAAAAAAAATAATTTCATATAATTTTTGAGGAATTTTCTGATTGGAATCACTTTTTTTTCCTGACCATAATTTTAATACTTTTGTTTTTGTAAAAAAAATGTATATGTTGATTTTTAAAGGTCAAAATTTAGATATAAAGAACCTTTTGATTGAAGATGCCAAAATCTTAAAATCTACTTCCAAGCTCAAAAGAAAAATATATATATCTTTGAAACTCTTTAATTTAATTGTTTTTAAAAAATCTTAATTTTTAGATAAAAATAATTATAAATATTAAAATTTAATTTTAAATTTATTAAATATTATTTTTTAAAATAATTATATATATTAATTAAATAAAATTTCAAATTTATATAATTTAATATTTTATTATCAACTAATAAAATTCATTGAATGTAAATTCATCAATTTTTATTATTCTATCATTAAATATAATATTTACAATTTTTTGGGTTCATAATCCTAAAAATCAAGTGCAAAACTTTTCTCTCAAGCAATAAATGCATTGACACAAATGACATTTTGGGAGCAAAAAGTGGATGTTGTTGACATGAATATTTGGTAGGGGAATAAATTATTGATTTTGTAAAACTTTCCTTTTTAAGAGGAAACAATAATATTAATAAATCTTTTTGGATTTATGAAATGATTTTTTGTGAATTTTTAATTTTGATTTTTTATCTTAATAAAAATAAAAATAAGTATTATATTATGAGTATAAAAATATGAATAAATATGATTTTAAAATTTTATTGAAGACGAAAATGAGAATGAATAATATAGTACTCATCTCATATCTATATTTCATATATATTTATATATATTTAGTAAATAGATTTTTATTAAATAATATAAATTATTATTTTAGATTAATTATAATTAATAAATTTTTATTAAAAATATATATATTAATATATATTTATAAAAAATTATCGAAATAAGCAAAATAAAATAAAAAAATAAATTTTTATTTTTATTTTTTTAAGTTGTGAGTATGAAAATTACTCGTACCTATTACATATAGCATGAAGATAGAAATTAAAATAAATTTAAAATATTCGTTGAATATAAATATGATATGAATATAATATAAGAATTTAAAAATAAAAATAAAAGATATTCTACTCTATGTATACCTTATTTATTGACATTCTTACCAAACGTGCACATTTATATTTGGCCCTTAATGTTGAAGTAATTTCATAAATATTCATTCCTTTAAATTTGTTTTTTCATATTTGATTGTACCAATAATTTTTTTTTGTCCAATATATAACAAAATAGTCATAGCCTTTTTCCATGGTTTTACAAATCTGGCTTTATTGGAACAATCACTAGACAATTTTATGAATAAAGTAACTCGAAACTTGTTGATGAGCGGTGCTAAATGGTTTTATTTTCCTTACATCCTAAATTTTTTTAAAAAAATTTTAAGTAAAATTATTTAATTATTTTTCTTATAACTTTTTAGAGTTTTACAATCTTTCCTAAATTTATTTTTTTTAAATTTATTTTCTAAAAATTATATGATTTTTAAAAGTTTATAATTTTTCAAATTTTAATTTTCAAAAATTTATATAAAAAATAATTAAATATTTTCACTTACAAAATTTTTTTAAAAAAACTAAGATGTAAAAAAAAAAAAGGTTTGAAGTGTATTTTGCAATTCTCCTTGTTGATTTTTACTGTTTTTTACCGTCAAAAAAAGGGTTGAAACATGGCCAGAATTGACCCCTCGTTTTTGACAAAAAAACAACTGAAAAAATCCAATGGATGCCAATTAGACTTTTTACATAACAAAAGCTGACATTAATTAATTAATATATTTACAAAGGAGACAACCATTTGTCCTAGAATTTGGCTGGAAACTCCCATTGTTTTCATGCATCCTTCGAGAAGGGTTGGTATGTTTTCGATTATTTTATTGCCAAAATTCCCAACAGGCTTTCCAACGAGACAAATGTTATTCCATGTTCAGAGACACCAATTAAGGTTATATTCAAGAAAAAATTATAATTAATGTATTTTTTATTTTAATTTAGTAAAAATAGTATTTTTTAAATTCTTGGTCTAACCTAATTCCCTTAATTATTATTTGGTAGGACGACGTCATTTCACTTCCACCTCCAATCCAAGTAATGGACCATTCCTAATTCCCATCTTCATTCCTATAAGTTCATTAGTAGTGAAAATAATATTAAATGCAAAATTATTTCTTAAAATAATACTTTAATTATCTTTAATACTTCCATGGTAACATTCGACCATAGTTTCTGAATAGGATAAAATCATCAGTCCAATCAATTGAATTGATGAATTAACGTTGATATCGGTTTGATTTTATAATTAAATTATTTAAATTATTGAAAATTAATAGTTTACATAATAAATCAGATGATTTTTTAATTAGATTAATTTAATACCAACTAATAAATTTAAATAAAATATAAAAAAAATCCTTCAAATATTCAAATAATCTAATTAAGCTTTTATACTACTATTTCATCTAAATAACCTCTTTAACTCTTATTTTTTATTATCAAAATCCTTTTATTTTTATATTAATGATATATTAGCATATTTTGATATATGTGAATAATGATATTACAAAAAAAAAACTTACACATGTATAAAAATAAGTAATTTTTTTAAATGATCTAACAAAAAAATTTATTAATTGATATGATAATTAAAAATAATTATAAAAATAATAATAGAAAAAATTAATAGAAAATGAAATGCTAATAAAAATGATTAATTATTTAACCATGATAAAAAATAATTAATAAAAAAATGTATATATGTAAAATTAATAAAAAAATCCACATTCATATAAAAATGATTTTAATTTCCTTTTCACTAATTTTCATATAAATATAAATATTTCCTTTTTATTAATTTTATATATAAATATTTTTTATTACATAAAGGTTAATTATTATATATTAACAAATAATATTTATATTTTAAAAAATATAAATAATTATTATTATATACAATTATTTATTAGTTATTATATTTATTAAAATATGAATATTATTTTCAACTATTAAAATATAAAATATGATTTTAATATAATGTTAAGTAATTTCATTTATAACTAGTAATTAATTGTTTTATGAATTTTATATTTTAAAATTTGTAATTTACAATATACCTTAAAATTTATAGTTTTATGGTTAAAATATTAAACCATAACTTGAATTAAAAGTTTGAATTTTGAATTTTAAAATATTTATATTTTTTATAATATTTTTTATTGAATCGATAATTGATCCAATTGATTCAATAGTTAAATCAGTAATTTAGTAACTTGAAACCTTAAACGATTTAATATTTGATTCGATTCTGATAATTATGTATTCAACTTTAATTTTATCTTAAAAAATAATTATTTTATTTTATTTTATCATATCATTAAATTATTTTTTAAATTATAATAATATTATTTGAGTTCATATTTGATGCATTGTATAGGTTTATATACTGCTAGTAAATTAGATGATAATATTTTATTAATAAACAAATATTAATTTTTAAAATATATATAAAAAATTAATATATTTTTAAAAAACTTACTTATTAATAAGATGTCATAACCTAATTTACTTTACTAATAAAGTAATATAATTCGATTAATTAATAATGTATTAAATATAAACTTATAATATTTTATTTGATCAAATCATTAAATAATTTATTTTTATTAATATCATCAGATTTATTAACAGTATATTAAATATTATTTTATTTTATTTTATTTAATCAAATCATTAAATAATTTTTTTATTGACATCATTCTATTTATTAATAATGCATTAAATATAAATTAATATTATTTTATTTGATCAATCATGAAATCATTTTTTTTATTGAAATGGATATAAGCACATGTTAATCGGATTTATTTTGAATTTTTTTTTTTGTTTTACGTGTCGTCATTGTTTTCCAATTTTGAGTGAAAAGGAAGTGAATTAATCACTGGTATGCTTTTCTTTTATTTTATACGAAAATAGTATGTTATTTCATGAAATCTTGAAAACAACTGTATAGTATTTAATAAAATTTATTCCCTTTTTAATTCTATATTTTGAAATTTAAAAAATTAAAAAATAATCGAAATTCATGCCTTTGCTTAAAGGTCATCTCGCAAGATCTCATGCTCAGAGCCAATTATTTTGATAAAAATAATGGTAATAAAAATATTTTTTATTCCACTAAAATCAAAGTAATAAGAAATTATGAAATAGTATATCACTGGTCGTACCGCATAGAAATTTTTCATGCAAGCTAAATTTATTCATGTTCGAATATAAAATTTGGGTCAATTAAATAGTGTAAGCATATTTAAAAATAATATTTAATAAATTTGATATTTAAATTTTAATATTTATAAATATTTATTTTTAAATGATCTTTAAAAAAAAAAAACGAATAATGATACATGGTTGGTTGTCATTCTTACATGCAATTAAATTTTTATTTGTTTGCAAATAAAAAATTTCAAATTGGAATGTTAATAAGACAAGTCTAAACTTTATTAGTAAAGTATCAAAAGTAGGGATGGTAATGGGTTAGGTCGGGGCGGGTTTTTGCTCGCCCCAAACTCGATCCGATTTCAAACATGTAAAATTCGAATCTGGCTCAATCTGATAATTTTTTATTATTTTTTATATTTGAACTCGATCCGATCCGACATTGTATAGAATCATATCCGACCTGAAATTAATAAAATATTATTTTAAATATAAATATAAAATTAAATATATAAAAAAATATAAATAATTATAAAATTAAATAGATAATTTAAAAAATTATTTATATATATATATATATATATATCGGGTTGGGTAGGCAAACCTGACTTCAACTCAATACCCGATTTTCAAAAAAAAAAATTGACCCTAAAAAGTCGGATCAAATCGAAACTCATCAGGTACGAATTTTTTTATCTTCTCTAATCAAAAGGGGTAAAAGGAGACTAATTAAGTTCATATTTTTTATGAGATTATAAGTGCAAATTTTATTATGTGACTTATAACCTAATTGATAAGTCATTATAATGTCATAGTAGCTTAATAATTACTCATGAATTTACCATGCACATTTTTATTTTAATGATTAAATATCAAGCATCAAACCTTCTGTTACATTCATTTATAATAGTTGAAGGTTCAATATTGTTCCTAACTACAACAACCATATGCTTGACTTTTTACCCAACATCATGATTTAGATAGTATTTTTTGTAGGAATGAAAACATATCTTCTACAATTACATAATTTTAACATATAATTTCTATCAATACATTATTTTTTATTTATAAGTGATGAATTTTTACGTATTTTTTTAATTTGAACAACGGTAAAATTATAGTAAATAAATTTGTCGGTAAAATGTTTCTTGTAATAACAAGTAGGGTTTTCATAAAACATGAAACACATTTTCAGATGTTCAAAGTTGAAACAGATTGTCAGTTCAAAGCTTTTGTGCATTGTTAAATGGAAAATTGAATAATGAAAGCTATGACTAAGCTGCTTGGATGTTGGGATTTGAACTCCTAATTATCCTGCCTTTGAAGGGAAGGTATTAGGTATGCACTTTATTTCATCCACTTTTCTAATCTGTGGTCCTACCATATGTTCTTTCTTTTTATAATTTTGTTTAAAAGATCAGGCCTGCCTTTTAGCTTTACCAAACAAAAGGGGAACATAATTTTGAAAATATGAATTTATTAAAGTTTCACATTTACTTGTTCTGTTAGGAATTTTTCAGAATCACATCTTTTATCAAACATCAATGATGAATCCAATTCTGTATAGGAACTTCCTTTTGACCCCAAAGAACTTTCGTCACCATCTTCATCACAATAAGGAACATCGTCTTCAGAATACGAGTCACTTATAGAGAAATCCTCTTCATCATTCTCATGCAACGTAGATGAGCTTCCTTCACTTTGTTCATCAAAATAAGAAACTTTATCTTCAGAATCTGATTCTCTCATCGATAAGTCCTCATCTTTTAAGTCATCTTCAGTTTCTGATAGCTCTTCATCTATGCAATCAGCTTCCTTATCTGAAATAGGTGAAGAGAAGCCTGTAGGAGTCAAATCATTACTCTCTCTTTCAAGCATCTTAAGTTTCCTAGATTCCCGGGTGTCTTTGGTTGGACTATCCAAAATTGAAATGGGATTCCTATTATTTGGATCACCATAGAGTGCAATGTGTCTGTAGTACAGCTCCAATTCCTTCTCTGCAATAGCAATGAAGCGTCTCACTGACTCAAGTGATTGCTCGTACTTTGATTTTTCAAGCGCCTGCAAAGAAAAGATAACGACAGTGTAGTGGATGACGATTATATAAAGCTCAATAAGGATATTCATGAAAAATAAATCACCATGATCATTTGTTTCCAGAGGAAGAACAATGCCAATAGTTCAAAGAGATGCCACTGAAATCTTTTCCCCACCCTCCCATTCAAAAATAAAGCGAAAGTTAAAAAAAAATAAATGGCAATATCATTATCAAGAAATAAATAAAAATAATAGTAAACAATATCAGCAGCCCATCAAGAAGATGAAAGCCACTAACATCTTTAATATATCTGAAACCTGTCATAGCATCTTACATACAGTTGTGTAATCCCATGGAGTTTAAGGGATCAAAGAGAAATGAAGTCCTGAAACAGAACGAAGGTTATCCCAAGAAGCAGATGGTTGTTTTAATGAATAACCTTCAGGTTTAGAACTTATAATACTCTGAAATTCTTAGGTTCCAAAGATTTCCTAAAGAAGTGCCTCTAAAAGCACTTGAATGTTGAACAGAATTCATAAAATAAACAAAAGAAAAAACATGTCATCTTAACACATAATGGCAATGGTATCATTTTGCTTAAACCTACATAACAGTAAATGTGATTATGATGATGATGCTATGGTGGACTCCATACCAAAAACTGATTGTTGTGCATGTGTGCACAACAATAATGTGAGAGGGAAAAAGTTTTCAAATCAGAAGTCCAAAAGTCTATCACTTTAAATACTGCTAAAGAATAAGATATTTCCAATTTACCCTTATCAAGAGCCCAATTTTCTGGAATAATACTTGGATAAAGACCTTTGTGCCTGAGGATTTGAAGTATTGCACACGTGGAGGGGTAAATTTTTCTTATGTTCCTTGTTAAGTTAATCAGAACTTACGAACTCAGAAATTGTTCGTGTATGCATGTACTTGAGAAGCAAACTCACCTTTTTCTTGGACAATGTATCTATCGGAGACATAACTTCTGGCTGCACATAGTTCTTCCCTCGATAGAATACTATGGTGTCATCACCAATTATTTGAACTGGGATTCCACCACTCAGTCTGGCAATTTCATCTGCATACACATGTACTTGGCTGGGCTTACAAGGCTTGCAAATGACCTTAACTGTTTCGTGTTTCTTCCAATGCATATGCATATTAAGAATAACCCCACCAAATATTCCTCTTCTGCCAACTGGCACATAGTTGGACCTTTTCTGGGCCATTTTTTTCATATAGAATCGTTCTTCACCTGTCAGATCATGTGGTTTCACCACCGGTCCCTGAAGTTTGGGAACTTCATAGTGCTTCAGTCTTTCAAGAAGTAAGGCTTCCTTTATTTTGGCCTGTTAAAGGGTTATAACTTACAAACATGGGAATTACGGAATTAACATAAGAAAGAAGACAACAAGGTAGTACAAATACAATTTTAGACTATTAATTCATAATGAGCAAATCTCAAAACTTAAACTGTGCCGGCCAGTTTTGACTTAGCAGATTCTAACAAAATGCAGTAAAATGATATCAAGGAAATTCTTTATATTGCGAAATACAATTAAAGTTGGTTGTTTATGATTCCCATATATCCAAAGCAACAAATCATACCAAGTAAGTTTTAACTTAACAGCCAAACACTCATAAATTAATATCAAGCTTTCATGAATTAATCCAGTTTTGCAAATTATCATCAAATGCAGCATTACTTCAAAACATGACAGAAATGGATTGTCACAATCTAACTAAAACATCTCTTATACCAATGTTATTTACATATCTTAACGGTAATTGCCGCTATTCAACAAGCTATACCAATTGCTAGGAATTGCTACCAAAAGCAAACAAATTAAGGTACTGTTTCTTTATTTTTATTATTACAAGGCAAAAAGAGTGTTCAGATACAAAATTCAAACAATATTTTTGAAGAATCAAAAATTGAAAAATGCAATATCTTAACAAAGGAAGTTATCATACTTTTATACAAAACAATCAATTATGGTTACCTTCTCAAGCTTGTACTTGATCCTCTCCTCTGCATCAGCAAACTTCTTCTTCTTCTTCCCAGTGAGACCGAGTCGACGTGGGTCTCTCCTATTGGCAGCTTTCCTCTTCTCTTTCTCTCTCTTCTTCTGCAACTTGAACCTTTTTTTAGTCTTCCATTTCTCCTTCTTTGGAGGGTCAACTTGATGAGTTTCAAACTTGGGTTTTCCTTGGGATATCACCAGGTTTACGGTGCCATGGCTCAAATGCCTCGAAACCCATGAAGGGGTTGTCGGGTTTGGAGTAACAATGGGTTTTAATGGACAAAAAATTGGCACTTCATTTAAGAAAAACCTGGAGGAGGAGGAGGAGGAGGAAAGGGGAAGAATTGTATTCAAAAGTGGAGAAACTCTTCGCAGGCTACGAAATAGAGCATTTGCCATTACAAGAATTACATCAGGATTTAGGGAAAGAGGCAAAGATCAATAATTTCTTGAGAAACCCTACTATAAACCCCAGCGCGTTAACCCCTGAAATGTGTGGCGAATCGGAATATGCATTGGCTATCTAGCCGACCTGGAGAGACATATATCGTACGACCCGGCCCACTTTTCAATTTGGAGAGATAGAGGTGAAAATTGGACTGATGAGATTGGATTTGGACCTGATAATTTCAAGTTATGTTTTTTTTCCATTGAAACAAAGTTAGGATCTTTTGAGTTTCTGACTGCCACGTGCTGTTATTGAATTCGGATTATATTAAATTTAAATTATTAAATTTAAAATTGATTACTTTTAAGTTAATTTTTTATATTAATTGAATTTAAATTATTTTAAATTCGATTAACTCAAATTAAAACTATTTCAGATTTAATTTATCGATTTATTTTTATCAAATGAAATTGGATTACGATTGTTCATGTTTATATATTGGAATTAGCACGTGTGCCTCTTAGGAATTTTTAAGGTTCAGTCTGACGTGGCAAACCGCCAAAAGCCATTGTAACAGAAACGGCTTGGACTTTGGAGGCAAAGCTTATCAAGCGAGGCCAAGTCCACCAATTAAACACGTGTCAACATTTAATTAGCTTACTAAAATCTTTTGACTTACTGTATAGTATATCCAATCCACTGTTGCCACGTCACGTTCTTTTGCGTCCCTATAATTTCCAACGCTGATCTCGCACCCCAAAAGTCTCTGCCTTTTTCCATACCTAATCGATCATCACAATTTCATCTACATTAAAGCTAAAATTTCGAGTAAGGTTTTTTTTTTTTTTAATTTAATTTTAATTTTGTCAATTCTAAGATATATATTTCGGTTTTTTAAATTAGTTTTTTTTTATTTGTTAATGTTCCATGCAAAGTACCAATTTTTTAACATGCATTTTTTTTTTCGTTTGAATTATTAATTTATTCTCTGTTTGATTGCCAAGAAAATTTACGTGTAAGCGAGAAAGTTTAGAGTTTGAATTTTTTTAGGTTTTATTCTGTTTTGTTGTTCTGCTATATTTTTTTAAATCCCCCTTTGTTAAAGAATGTAATTAGCAAGTAAATTACAGCATTAGAATCTCAAGTTGTGGAATTAGTTGATGATATCATTGGAATTTTGTGTTCAGAATCTGTTTGGTGTCTGGGAAAATAAAAGAAAATTATTAAAAAAAGAGAAAAAGAGCAACCTTTTTTCCAGAGTTGACTCCAACATTGGACTCAAGAAATAAACTTTATTCACTCAGACTTTTGAACTTTAGTCTTTGTTATATGTTCCTTTTTCTTTTTATATATTTCATTCTTAAGAAGTTTCTAATTTATACTTACTTAAGCATTAGAACCAAGAAATGTGCTTCCTTTTTTGCCTTAGCTTCCTTTGCGACTCAATATAGTTTCCATTTGAGAGCAATTTGTTTTATTTGTGTTTTCTTTTGCTCAATTTTCATCTTCGATTCTCTAGATGGTTGATTGGAAATTGGAAAAAGAAAAAAGAAGCTTGAAAAACCAACTAGGTATAATGTTTTGTTGCATATTTCTTGAGAAACAAGATATAATGTAAGATGTCAGTACATGGTAACTGTTAATTTGAATGTGTCAAGCTCTTTTGGACCTCGATAGGAAATATGAAGTTTAATCATGTTTATTTGCATGCTTTTCTTTTCATCTTCTAGCAATGTTTCTTTGCATACTTTTCTTTTCATCTTCTAGCAATAATTAGAAAAAGGCTTTTTCTTGCAGTGGAGTTTGGGGCTCATGGTGATGTTAGTGGTGGTATGGTACTGAACTCAGTCCAAGCGGAGGCTAGTAGCGTGGACAATCAAAATGAAACAGTAGAAAATCCTGTCAAAGGAACTTTTCAACAGGGTCTGAATGAAAAAATGGATCGAACTTCTTCAGGAAGCGATGACATCCCAGAGGGTATTCCAGCTGATGAACCTTATGTGGGTCAGGAATTTGAATCTGAGCCAGCTGCACATGCTTTTTATAATACATATGCCACAAGGGTGGGATTCATCATTCGTGTAAGCAAACTTTCCCGTTCAAGGCGTGATGGATCTGCTATTGGTAGGGCACTTGTTTGTAACAAAGAAGGTTTTAGAATGCCTGACAAACGAGAAAAAATTGTGAGGCAAAGGGCAGAGACGAGGGTTGGATGCAGGGCAATGGTTTTGGTGAGGAAAGTAAGCTCCGGTAAATGGGTTGTCACAAAATATGTGAAAGAGCACACTCATCCTCTGGCACCTGGAAAAGGTCGGAGGGGTTGCATTTATGATCAATACCCGGTCAGTTTTCACCATATTGTCTTAAATTCATGTCTGCACATGTCTGTTGATATATATTCTTTCACTATATCTGTAAGTGACTCTGATTATTTGCATGGGTGAAATGTTTTTATACAAGCATCGTTCTTCCAGTTAGAAGTTAGGAGTAGCTTGAATTACATGCAAACAGATGTTTTCTGGGCATTGTTATTCCGTACATTGATCTACGCTTAGATTTACTAGACTTTAAAAATATCAATTCCTGTTCTTTTTGGTATTGGAGAAGTTAAATGACCCCTATGTGAAGCATTTTCCTTTACTTTCGCCTTAATATCTACAATCTCCTTGTCAAGAATAAATGATGATGGATCTAAAGAAACGAAGATGTTCACATTAGCCTAGACCAATTCATTCCTTTTGATTGGAAACTGAACCATTTTTTTCTAGTTGGGGTTTGAGATGTTTAGTGAATGGTGTGAAGAAGGAGAGGGGGTGGTAGAAAGTATATATAATGGATTCCAAGTAAATATGGAGCATTTTCATTTTCTGTGATAAGGGGCTCTTTGACAACTACCTTGTGAATGGCTTTGTTTTGATCTCTTTGCATACTTTGTGGGTTTTAAGTCCTATTCAAGGACACTAACTATGATCTGCAGGGTTAATAATGGCATCTATTAAATAATGATGATACAAGTTGCACAACAAATTGCAGAACATAGGCGGGAAATAATTGGTACGAGAAACCTAATGAATGTACTCAAAAGACAAGTTACTCAATGAAATGACTTTTGTTTCCTTTTTGTTGCTCAGAGGCTTTGTTTCCATGACGAATGAGAATGTGAAATACCAAATTGATTGAATTTTTTTATTTCCCTTCAACATATTCAATGGTTTATATCCTTTGGGATCTATGTCTTGACTCTATTTTGGGGTTCTGATATGGCTGAGAAGTCGTCTAGAATAGGGTTAGATAAAGATGATATCGAGGAGAGAAAGAAGTGGTTTAAAGAGAACTCTAGTGAGGTGGCAGTTGACCATTGAATGAATCCAGTATGAAGGAATAATAGCTGGTTCAAGGGTTTTCGTTGACCAAAAGGAAGCCAGAAGAAATGTGTAATATCTCATGGAATTTGTTTATTGTGAGTGACAAGTTCTTTGGACCCCATTTTCTCGAGAAAGGTCTTAACAGCTTTCATTCTAATGTACGACCTCTCTCTATTATTTTTCTGTTATTGCTCTAATGAAATCTTGAACTTTTTACTGGTAAAACACCACTTTGAACCCTTAAGGATGGAGATCAAAATTTCTTTCAATCTAGGCTTAGGGCCTCATTTAGCCTTGTGCCTTCCTCTTGGTGTTACACTCATAGCCTTTTATCTCAACTTGTGTTAAATTCAGCAACTTTGCTATTGTATCACTCATGTGTGGTGTTGTTTTTACTAAATAGGCTCTGGATTAATCATCTGCCCTACAAGTTAATGTTAAATGCTCTTACCTTGAAGTCATGAGTTTCAATATTGTCATTCATTCTCTGTACTGAAACTTGTTTTATCTATCTTGTTCTTGCAGAATGAACATAATAAAATCCGAGAATTAACACAGCAGCTGACCATTGAAAAAAGGAGAGTTGCAACCTATAAAAGACATCTAGAATTGATTTTTGAGCAAATTGAGGAGCACAATGAGAGTCTGTCGAAGAAGATACGACGCATAGTAGACAGTGTGCAGGAAATGGAAAACAACAAGCAGCAGAGCCGTGTATAGTTCCCAGATAGCTTTTCATACATTGTTGAAATATATATAGGACCAAAACCTGGTATATAGTTATGATGTTGGATATAGACCAGTGTTTTTTATGATTTGGTTTGTTTAGAAAAATCACATCCTGATATTGTTCTAGGTGTTTGTTAGAATCTAGTCAGGTCTGTTGCCAATTTATTGGAATGCCTTTGTATAATTATGCTTTCAAATTTGAACTACATGGAGTAGGATAGATTATTAGGTCAGTCATTGTACAGTGTTGGGGCCAGCCTTGAGCTGTCTGTGTGAAATGTGTGAAGATAATTGGCATTGGGAGTGTTAATTTAGGTGGTTAAATTATTCCATTTAAGTTTTTTGTACTTCTATTTGGTAATTTTTTTTGTATTCGAACTTTGAAACTTGAGTATTGAAATTAAGAGTCCAACATTTTATCAATAAATCTAGGATAATTTTGTTTTTTGGGTAAATGTTTTCTTGCAATTTGATTAAACTTTGTCAGTCTTTGTACAGCATTCAAATGATTTTATTTGTATTCAGATAAATTTTATATTAAGACTTTTGGATACTGTTGTAATTTGCAGTTCTTTTTCCTACCATGATTTTGGCCCTGCAAATGCGTTTAAGCTTTGCTTGAGAGGAATGATAAAAAGGGGTAAGATTGGTTAAAATAGACAAGAAATTATTAAAAGTTTCGGTATGCAAATGATAAATTGCTCTTAAAAATTGAGAAAAATTAAATAAAAGGCAGTTAAACTGTTAAGAGTTTATGGATTTTCGTTTGTTGACGTGTTGCATTAACATTGGCCATTGAAGCTTCCGAAATTAAAAAGTCAAACACTCAAACTATAAGAAAAGCAAAAACCCTACTCTGTTTTTCTCTCTGTTTCGACTGTCAGTAACCGTTGCCTCCTGCTCTGCCTCCACAGGTATTCAAACATCATTTTTGAGTCTCTCATCAATCTGAACTTATCTTTGTTAGCTCAGTTTCATATTACTCTTTTTTTATTGAATCAAAATTGGGTGAATAGTTTTTCAAAAAAAGATATAAAAAGTAACAAATTGAACCTTCCTGAATAACTTGCTTTTGATGGATTTGTGAAGAAGGATGGAATATGTAACAAAAGAGTAGAAATTTAAGATTGGGTTTTGTGTAAAATTTCATACTCCGGAAGTTTTTCTTTTTTTTTTTTTTTGTTTTTCTAATGAACAGTTAGACCGTCTGGAATATCTTGCTTTTGGATATGGGTTGATGTTGTTTTTGAATTTGAATATCCTAAAATATATTTAGGTGAGTGAATTTTGTATATTTTTCTAAGAAAGATCTTTTGGTTTGGCAAGGTTGGCACTTGGCACATGGCACATAACATTTATGTGAAAATGAAAAAGAGAATAACAGTTTTATTAAGAATAATGACTCAAATACTATAAGAGATTTATTTAAAATTGATTAGATATTACTTAATGAATAAAAAAATTTGTAGAATAAGAATTTTAAGAGAAAATTTTTTTTTAATAAGTAAGTTTGACTTACAAAAGAATTATAAGAGGAAAAATGATTCTTAATAGGTAAGTTAATATGATTATAAATAATTGAAATCTCTATAATGTTAGGTATGAGAAAAAGATGTAAAAGAGTTGTAGGATTTTATGAGATATACACTACATAGAAATACTAGAGATTTTCGTCTTATAGGTATATATGTTTGTATATTTATAAGTGGAGTCCACATAGGTATCGTGTATGAGAGTAGACTAAAGGAGATTGAGAGGATTTACATAGGTATGATGAATTGGTACATATAAGTATTTATTTATTTTTGTTGAAAGGGTATACATGAGTATGTGTTTGTTTGGGTTGAGAATATTTTATAGGACATGAGAATATTGAGAGGGTCTACATAGGTATGATGAATTGGTACATATAGGTATTTATTTATTTTTATTGAAAGAGTGCACATGAGTATGTATTTGTTTGGATTGAAAATATTTCATATGACTAGAGGAGATTGAGAGGGTCTTATGAGTATTGATTGTTGAGTGAGATTGATATGATTTGTATGTTTGTAATTTTTTATGATTAGTGGATCTTATTTTTCATCCGTGAACGTAAGTTAGTTGGACTGAACTGCCGTTTAAATTATTATCTTTTCTATGATTGATTAATTCTTTGATTTTGTTTCTACTGGTGTGATTGGATCATGGCTTTTTAGGTTAACAAGTAGTATCAAAGCTGAAGATTCAAGACGTAAGAAGAGCTGAAGGTTCGAGTCATGACAAGCCTAGAGGGGCTCGATTCAAGAGAAGAAGTTCGAGTTTGTGTTTTGAATATCAGTTTGTGTAAAACGTGAATACACACAAGAAAATATGATTGTGAGATTTTTGTTGCAGGTGGAGCCAAGCATGTCTAGCTTGAAAATTGATGATTGATAAAATTTGAATCAATGTAGAGATGTTATGAATAGTGACTCAAATATCATAACAGATTTATTTTGAATTGATTAAATATTGCTTAATGGACAAGAAGACTTGCAAAATAAAAAATTCTAAAAGAAAAACGATTCTTAATAGGTAAGTTTAACTTGTAAAAGTAGAATTCTTAGAGGAAAGTGATTTTTAATAGATAAGTTAGTATGTTTATAAATAAGTGAAGTCTCTATAGAGTTAGACATGAGAAAAAGATGTATGTAAGAAAGTTGTAAAATTTTATAGGATAGACATCCCATAAGAGTACTAAAGATTTACATCTTATAGGTGTATATATTTATATGACATCTTATAGGTGTATATGTTTATATGTTTGTGAGTGAACTAGAAGAGACTGAGAGAGTTCACATAGCTATGATGCATGGGAGTGGATTAGAGGAGATTGAGAGGGTTCATATAGGTATGATGAATTGATACATATAGGTATAGGTATGATGAATTGATACATATAGGTATGTGTTTATTTGTATTGAAAGTATGCATATGGGTATGTATTTATTTGAGTTAAGAATACTTCATACGACTAGAGGAGATTGAGATGGTTTTATGAGTGTTGATTGTTGAGTGAGCTTGATATGATTTATATGTTTGTAATTCTTTATGATTAGTGGATCTTGTTCCTCATCCGTGGATGTATGTCAATTAGACTGAATCACGTTAAATTATTGTTTCTTGTGTGATTGATTAATTGTTTAATTTTGCTTCTACTGGTTTGATTAGAATGAGGCCTTTTGGCCTAACAAGCCTTTGGTTTTGAAGGATCAGCCAACAAGACTGGTGTTGGGGTTGTGACATTAGATGGCACCATTTTGTCGAACCCGCGCCACACCTACATTATCCCACCCGGCCAAGGATTCCTTCCACAGGAAACAGATCAGCACTATCTCCAGCTTGCGCTTCCACTTGTTAAATCAGCTTTAAAAACAGCCCAGATAACCCCTGATGACATCGACTGCCTTTGTTACACTAAGGGTCCTGGTATGGATGCGCCGTTACAAGTTTCTGCCATTGTTGTGAGAGTTCTTTCACTGCTATGGAAGAGGCCCATTGTTGCAGTTAACCACTGTGTTGCACATATTGAGATGGGAAGGATTGTTACTGGGGCAGATGATCCTGATGTGCTGTATGTTAGTGGTGGAAATACTCCGGTTATAGCCTATGGTGAAGATCGATACAGAATTTTGGAGAGACTATTGATATTGCTGTCGGGAATTGCTTGGATCGATTTGCTAGATTTTTAACCATCTCAAATGATCTAAGCCCTAGATAAAACATTGAGCAGGTACGTAAAGATGGTTATGTTGTGTTTTTCAAGTTCAGAAATGTATTGTAATCTAGACCCCTGATTCTTCTTTTCCCATTGTGGTTTAATTGGATTCTTTATGCAATGCTAATATTTAATCTATTTCAGTTTACTTTTATGCTTTATATGCTCAAACATGGACTTTTGGAGGTCTTCCTGCTGTTTGAATATTTTTAGGTGTTCAAATACAGTGCATATCTTGGTACTTTTGAGTGATTTAAGAAATGCATTTTTCACATAGAAACTGTAAGTCTCGGTAAGGAAGCCAGATGTAAACTTTTCCACACAAAATTGAGCACTTCTAGACCTACAAAGCATGCCAATATTTTTGCGCCTAGGAATAATTCTTAGAACCTAGATATTTTCAGACTGACAGTTCTCTCTTTTTCTTTTCGCATCATTATGTATTTGCCATTTTAGTCAATACAACATCCTGTAAGATCTTAATTTCGGTTATCTTTGATTCCCCCTTTGTCCTACATTCCTTCTCTGCCTCAGCTTGACTTTTCTAATTTTCTAGATGATAAATAAGACAATTTTATGCAATCTTATTTCAACCATTTCAAAATTGTACATCTTGCTGAAGTTCAATTTAATCATTTAGTCAATATATTCTGGTTTCTTTTGCTCTGCCCCTTTAAATCTGTCTATTCCCCCAAATCTTCTGCCCTTCAAGAGGCAAATTAGATGCTGTTAGCAGAGCTTCCATGTCACTACATTTATTTATTATTTCTTTTCTAGGACAAAGTTTTCTCCCACAACTCCATGGACTAATTCATGTTCAGAAAGTATTTCTGTTCAACCAGCCTGATATGACTTTCTCCCTTTCCAGCTAGCAAAGAAAGGAGAAAAGTTTATAGATCTTCCATATGTCGTAAAAGGGATGCATTCGCTCTTTAGAACATAAATGATGTTATTGCTTTTGAAACTCAAATGTGTTAATTGAATTGATGCAGGCTATATTGAGATGAATGCTAGTCTTGGTGAATTTAGTTACTTCCCATTGCCATTTCTATGGACAAGTGCAGATCTCTTTTTCATGATTAGGTTTTTGAAACAATAGTATTAGAGAGATGAAAGAGATGGATAAGAGAAGAGTGAAATAATTTTAAAAGAACAACACCAGTGCTAAATCAGTATCTTACAAGAAGGGCCTTAAGTGGAACCCCATTGAATTTTGACCACATGAATGTGTTGTACATTAGCTAATGGAAACATATCCACTGAGAGAAAGGATATAATTGAAAATTTCTTTTATTGCTTAAGGATGAAGTTGAAAATTTCAGAGTATAGAAATTCCATCAGGCATATCTCACTGGATTCCAAACCAATGATTCCACTGCTTATGACGAATCCCACTGTCAATGTCAGAATAGTATATGGTGACCACTACAATGCATACTGACAGCTTTTACACAAAGCTCAACTATTTGGTGATTTGTTTTCTCTTTAGAATGAAAATATCTCATTCTATAAAGTTGTTTTGCTTAATACCTAATATTTTTGTTCCAAATATAAACAGGTTTGTTTATATATAAAGGTAAACATATAAATAATTAATAAAGATCAGATAAACAAGAATATCAAACCAAATACATAAAGGAAACTTAGCAAGAATTAAAAGAGAAATATATAGATTATTTTTATATATTAAGGGTGTTGTTCTAAGAGAATTTAAATTCATATTATTGTTGGTTGCAAATAAAGGTATCGTTCTAAGAGAATTTAGAATTTAAATTCGTTATAGATATCTATTTTGTTCGAAAATTTTTTATAATTAAAATAAATTTTGATAGCAAATTGAATCTTAATACAAAAATTATGTGGTTTTGATTTCCTGGATAATGGAAAGCAAAACATAGCACTACATGTTTACGGTAGGTAGTTAAAAATGATAAACGTATTATTGGAAATTATTGACTTTCCTAAGGTTTCTTTAAAGATAATTATGAGATAATTTGGTAATGAGAAAGCAATCAATTATTGAT